AGGATATTTTCAAACGAAATATACTCAGGAGGATTCCTAAGGAGAGTGTTCAAGTCTAGTCTAACCTAGTCTACAAATACTAGGATTTCAAAGGAATTGAATTATCAGGATAATATTATAGGATTCGGAGGAAATTTTTATGGAAATTTCTAGGGGACTCCGAAGAAAACTCCAAGGTACGAGAATAGTTTCAAGGCTATTTTCTCGTGAGTTTTAGGAAAATCCCATGATTGCTCTGAGTAGAGTTCCAAGGTAATTTTGGAAGGTTTTTTTATTATAACTTTATTAATCTCTTTAATAAAGTAATAATAATAAAAAAAAACCATTTGGAAACAAGTTGATAAAGTGAAAATCTGAAAAGCTCAGAGATCATGGCAATTCCAGAAGAAAAACGCAACATCAGTTAGAATAAACTTGTATGAATGTACAGATTAGGAATACTAAATGTATAATTCAAGCGACCATATATTAAGGTTTATTGATTATCCCCGGTTCTCCAGTTAAATTCCAGGTTATTTCCAGGTTATCCTTGTCCAAGGGCATATCAATTTTTTTGGAGAATTTTTAGAAGAATTCCAAGTGAGTTTTCAGTAGAATACAGAGGAGGTTTCCAAGATAATTTTGAAACTCAAGGCACAGTTAGCTATCAGACTAAGAAAACTTGTTTTTCCTTGATTTGTTTTCCATCGATCTTGTTTTCCGTACTGAGTACCAATGCTACCGACGCACAGTGGGACGTAATCAAAAATAGTTAGACAGGGCTATTTGTGACGAAACTATTGAGTGTAGCATTTTGATGTCATGTAGAATATCTCTTCAAGCGGAGGCGAACCAGCCTCAGGCAGAAAGCCTCCCTAATAAAGAAAACTTAACTTAACTGTTTCTTCATTTTTTGAGTACCTTATTTGAGTAGTGAATATGTTTGAGTAGTGAATATGTTTGTATACCCCACTAAGATAAAAAAAATAACTTTGTGTATGTCTTTTTAAAATTGATGTACATCTATGGAAGCATTGTAGATTAAGATCGAAAATCGAACATTTTTACTACTCAAATAAAGTACACAAAAAATTAAGAAATATTCTAGAAGACATCAAAATGCTTCACTCAATAGTTTCATCGCAAATAGTCATGTCCCACTATTTATGATTTCGTCCCACTGTGCGTCGCCAGGGAAGCAGCTCTCACTCCTCGATCCTACCTATCTACTCATTAACTCATGGACCGGAGGCCAACGCCGAAACTAACTATAATAGTAAATCTCGAAAGCACTTTTGAATATTTCACACTTCCAAGCAAAAAATTTATGGACAATTTATTTAGAAGTTCAAACTCTTGAAAAATTGTTTCGTCTGGAAGCTCTTAGAAAATTCAGAGAATTCTTAACAAAATATTCAAGTCTGAGTAACCATAATGGCAAACATGTGGGACAAACGCCTTTTTGCATAGTGATTTGCAATTTGCCGTATTTTCCCGAAATTTTGGATTTTTTCCCGGTTGTGCGATATGCATTAAAATAAGCATAGTTACAATCGAAATCGGAAGGTATCGATAGGTTAAATGGGTCATTACTAAGACAGTAGCATTTTTTTCTGGAGAGATGAACTAGCCTATGGCTAAAAATCTCTCAAATAAAGAACAAAAAAAAATTCTGGGTTGAATTTGAGCTGCGATTGAATTCTTTAAAATTGGTGTTTTAACTACCTTGAACAGTTACTCAAAACTCTTCACAAGATTTTATTAGAATATTCTCAAGCATTTCCTTTGAAAATCATACCTTTTGCCACACATATGCTTAAGTGGTCTAGTAGGAATAGTTGATGGCTGTGAATCAGCGACTGCCAGTTCTATTCCCGAAATGCAAAGGTAATTTTTAGACATTTAATAACAATATAAATATGTAAATCCAATCAGTCAGCAACATAACATGGAAAAGCAGTCTATAAGATATGAAGCAGCCTTCAATTATTTTTGTTCAATAAAAATAGAAGGCTGAACAAAGGTTGGAAAAGACTGCCTTAAAAAGCTTGTAATGTATATAACTGGTAAGCTTTCGGCTGATTAAAATCACCAGAGTATTAAAAGCTGAGCAAAGGTGTACACAAATTATTCGAACAAAGGCTGAATTAAAATCGTTAAAACAACACTTGTTAAGCATTAAATTGTTACCTGGGTTGCTGAGACTTGGATTTTTTTTGCAGAATCTCAGCAAACAAACGTCATGTTTGCTGAGATCTCAGTAAAATTTAATGCTGAGCAATCAGGGCCTCCCTCAGCTCAGTCGTTAAAGGCGCGGCTACAAAGCAAGACTATGCTGAAGGTGGCTGGGTTCGATTCCTGGTCCGGTCTAGGAATTTTTCGGACTGAAAAATTGGTCGACTTCCCTGGACATAGAGAATGATTGTATTGCCACACAATTATACCAATGCAAAAATGGTACAGGCATCGAAAGCTCTCAAATAATAACTGTGGAAGTGCATCTAGAACACTAGGTTGAGAGCACGCAGTATGCTAAAATGCGATAAGCATTGAGTTTGAAATGCGAAGAAGAAGAAGAAGAAGAAATCAGTTGTGCAAATCTAGGAAAAATATTCCGAGCTGGCGAAAAGAAAACTAAGTGTGTAGCAAGGGGTATTCAACTCTGCACACCTTAATCCGTGCTGACTGATTGACCTGTGCCAAGCGCTATGCCGAACGTGCCTATCAAGTGGTCAATCGAAGTGTCAAGCCTATCAAGGTGTCAATATTCCATGAGTTTGGAAACCGGAAAAGCTATTACTACGGTGATTGTGTTTTGCTTTGTTTAACGGCTTTCTCAGTCTTAAAACACTCTAACGACTACGATGTAATCTGCCCATGTTTACATTCTCAATTTATATCTCATTAGTGCGTTAGTGGATCGGGAGCTGGAAGAGGAAGTGGAAGTCATCAAAACTGTACGGTGTTCAAGCACCAGATTCCAATTCGATGTCTCTTTGAAATGCTGATTCCCTGCAGATGTACAGAAACGAAGGTGTAACACGATCGATAATGGATGAAATTGCTGCATGTAAAATTCTTACCGACTAAAGTAACCTAGAACTCGAAAGGGACAGTAGAGTTCAATTGCACACTAGGAGCAACCTCCTCGAGCCAGTTTTTATTAAAGCCTCGAATAAAATTTCCAATAATGAGCAAGGCCTTACAGTTGACCGAGCGGTAGTCTACCCATAGCACTGGAGTCCCTTAATATGAGATGGTTCAACAGAAAGATGATGACTGAGGTGCATCTGGATAACAATCGGAGCTGCTATGATCGGTTCCCATAAATCCGATACTATTGTGATAAGGGAATCGTACACAGATTCAGATCTGATGGAATATGCAGCAGTACTGGGACTTCTGGAAGTCCTGTGAATATCCCATCGAATTGAGACCAATGACTAGCAAGAATATTCGAGGAAGCACACAGCGACCGGTATTCGAATCTGGCCGGTGGCTGCCCTCTATAATAAGCTGTTTTCTTTATTGTTTATACTGCTCTGATCTTTTGTGGAACGCTGCGAGATCGGATGTCCAGTCCAGACAGTCCAACATATGTAGACCAAAAATAAGAAGCGTATTCTGAAATAAAGCCTCCAGTGCGTGACCTTTGGTGAAAGCATGTGAACATGAATGGAAGGGTTCATCGAAGATCATCACCGACATATAGTTGGGATTCATTTGCTTGATAATGATGACATTGTTTGCATGGCCTTCTAAATTTACATCTGACTTATTTATATACTGGCTGGCATTTTTGACAATGACTCCATCCTCAATCGAAAACGTGTCGGTTTGTAAGCCCCAGTTTGACCAGCTTCTAATTGTCCAACCCCATCATAGTCAAAACTTGTCGGATGTACATATCATTTCCTTCTCAATTCCTCGAAGACGATAACAGACTTCTTCAAAATTTGCTCTGCAGGCAGCTTAATTTCGATTTGCGTCGCAACAATAATACGTACTGTAAACATAGCTGACGTTCAATATCCCCAGGCTTGTTTTTGATTTTCATGATCACGGGATTCAACCAGTCTGCACTATAAGACTCAACGATTTTGCCGATCACATTCCAAACCGTACCATATTGGACGACCAGATATTCCAGCCATTTGACCAATCGTCAAGTAACCCGTAACCCGTAGTAACTCGTTTCAGTCGTCTTGACTTGACGTATCGACAAGATCATCTCGACCTGCTATAGTGTGGATGAACTCGATTAAAGAAAAGCCCGAATAAAAGCTGTATTGGATGAAATTATGAGGTACTGTTCTTAGATTCTTGATTGAATCGTTGTTTTACCAGTTTTATGTATGACAACAAATTTTCTCTATTCTTTGAGTAAACAATGTATTCAACCGAGTAGACAACGATTGATAAATCGTCAACACACAACAGTGATGCCGTTTTATATTATATTGTTTGAGTCCTACTTGTCAAAGTGTGCCTTACCGTACCGAACAGTGTGCCATGCTGTGTTTCGGCACAGTGTCCAGAGTTGATAGTGTATTTTGATACGGAAATTTTCACATTTGATTTCAAATTTGCTGAACGTAGCATAACATTCATATTATTATGTAAAAACAGTAGCATGTCTTCATTCCCTCAAAAAGATGTTAATCCGAAAATAATCAATAACGATTCAGTAATAAAGCTGATAATCGTGACGGTCGCGTGTCGTTTGTCGACTTCCGTTAACCGCCTGCGCCATCCCTTAGCTTCGCAGAACCCAATCAGAAGGTCGCATCATTTTTTTTAAGGGGTTAAGATTCCCGAAAATCTTTTAAGCAAAAAAGGGTTCGTTGCGCAAATTGTTCAGTACGGAGGCCGGAACAAACAGCCAATTGATTATTATGATTGGTAGAAGAGAAAATCGATCTCAACTGTCGGCACGTGGCATTCAGTTCAGGGCAAAAGGGGTTTGAATGTCTATTAAAGCTATAATTTTCGATAATTTCCACGCGCGATCGATTACTTACCATGCGACGGAGGCGGAGACGGTGATTTCGAGAGCCGGCTAATGTCTGCAATGAGAGAAAGAGAATATATGGGAAAGAAATTAGCGAATTGTTACAACTGGCTAGGAAATGAGAACACGCATCATCAGCAGCAGCAGCACGACAGAAGCACAGTTAGTCGATGGGAAGACAAATTATGCTGACATATTGGAAAATCAGCTTTGCATATATAGGTAACGAAATGGATGAAGGAGAAAGAAGGAGGCCAACATACGGTATAGAGATGCATCTGCGCACCTTGTTTCCGTTTCTTTTGTGGACACTTGGAAGGCAGAGGGAAAAGAATGCAGTCTCTGCTTTTGGTAAATGCTCATTTCACGCAGTTCAGAAAGCTAGGAAACCTGTATATGCATTATTATCGTGAGCTGAGAAAAGTAAAAAGGGGCCGAACAAAAAAAAAACGTGCATAAAATCATATGCTTATTTGCATAGACAAAAGGAAATTCGACTAATGTCGAGGTTCGATTCCAGAACACCTTGTCTTTTCCTAGTACAGTGTTGGTTGGATGGTCTTTTTTTGTGTGTGTGTGCTCCGTTTTTGGAAAATGAGGTCCCCCGGCGTGTGTTGACAAAGACATTCGATACGTTCCGAAGATGTGAGAATTTTGCATTCCTCCAGCCGGGTGTTGAATATTAAACTACATATATGATGCAGTGGTTGAATGCCAAATTTTCATTTGGCAGTTATGATAATTGATTTTATATGATTTCTGCGAAAAATGATTTATATTATAGGACCCGTCACCCTATTTGAATATTTTGTTTTCTCAAATCATGACATACTGTCGTACAAATATTTTAAATACGCGGACCAGTTTTCGTATGAAACCATTTTCATGACATTCAGTAAAATTTGCCAAACGCAATTTAGGTATCCCTTAAACATGAATCACAAAAAAAGCTCAACGGATTTTTGCATGAAGCTAGTAAAGGTAATATCGGAACCCCGCTGTCACAGTTTTTTTTTAGTGCAGAACAGAGAGAACACATAAAAAGGCAAATAAATTACACACCATTTAGAGTGACAATGATGAGAGCAGCAAATTGCATTTCTACTCTCCTTATCTCCTTTTCCGAGTTCTGTATTGTGGAAAATATAAAAAATAGCCAACCCCAAAGTGCAGTGATAAAAAAGAATACCTAACTATTTCATTTTGTTGTCACACAGAAAATGTGCATACTCATTTCGGGAAGGGAATCGAGATTTTGTCCGTTCACTTCGGGAAAGAATGGAAAATTGACTATAATTTACTCATGACTTTGCATAAAAATATTTGATCTCCCCTGCCGCCAAGCTGCTATTTTTTGTATCTTCGGCTACTTTTTTTTCCTCTCTCTCTTATTACCGTCAATTACTTTTATCAAGATCAATGATTCTACCCCTCTGCCGGGGGTTTTAATTTTATCATTAATTTATTACCGACCATTTAGCATAAAATTGTTCACAATTCCAAAACGGCGCAATTAATTAAACCGATCGAGACTGATCGATGCAAATGACTTTGGCCACACGTTCTCGACTCGGACCGAAACCAACCCGGAAGGTCAACTGCAGCCTGGCTTTCGCCCTTGCGAGTTTGTCACGCTATATTCCCCCTCTCGTCTGGATGCGCTGAAATGTGATCGATTTGCATAAAAATATTTGGACTTGTTTTCGTTTCCCCCTATATCGGTTTTGCATTTGTCACACATGCTTGCCTGTTGGTCCACCATCATTGGACCGTAAGAAAAGCCTGATGCCCGGACCGGACCTCGACTCGGGAGTAATTTACGAAGGGATGCACATATAAATTTTAAAACCTCCTGGGAACAATAATCATGAAGCCGAAACAGATCCATAAGTAGGGGAATACGGGGCAAGATGAGCTTCCTCACGAGGCAAGATGTGCACCCATAGCAGAAGTTGTTTGTATATGAAATGTTTAATTTTTTTATTATTTAGTTTAATATACTGGCAAACTAATTGTTCATTGCAAATTCTTATTACAAAGAGGGATTCTTCTCAGTAGGCAAATTGTCATAAATTTTCTATAGTTATTGATTATTTCTAAATCATTTTTGGAACGTTACATGATGCAAACTTTTCTGGTGCTCATCTTGCCCCGTCTACCCCTAACTCGTAAAATATGGATGCGAAATTTGAGCCGCACGGCCTGGTTCGTTTGCTACCGAAGCTGTCCAGTTTGTCACCACATAGGAGCACGAGCACACGGGCGGCGGTGATGCTGTAAATAATAGGTATAATGTCCTCTTAATAATGTCCGGGGCTACAGAGGCATTCATCTCACTTTCGGATCGGAGGGGCCCAATGTCGGTCGGTCCGGTGTGTAGTGGTGACCTTTTGTGGACCGAGCGGGGGCAGATGTCATTCTCACCCCGACAACGACGACAACGACAACGCGATTGCCGCAGAATCCTTTTTATATTCGAATCCACCTATCCTACGTACGTACATAGATATGTGTTTCGGTTCGGGGAACTCTTCTTCATTTGGATATAAAAGGTTCCATTTTTATTAGTCCTCTGAAGGTGCTGCGGGGGTGCTGCGAAAAGGGAGGGAAATGAAAATATACTGACATGTGGACATAAGGACTAGTCAGTGGTTCGGTCCAGAATAGGACGCATAAATCCACCCTTACAGAATAGAAGGACAGACATTTAATTTTTCTTTTACACCCGAATTTAGCCGTTGCTTTGGATTTTCAAGTTCCAAGGGAGGGTTGGGTGATGCAGATTTCTTGGCCCGAGGCGCGTGCTGAATGTCAAAGTGGACGACAGAGAATAGGTCAGAATATTCGAATTTTTAATCAGTTCCGTTCCAGCTGCGCTGATTCCGTTCTGACAGGGAAACCAATTGAACTTGCTGACCGTAAAGGATTGAGCCTGATTGATGGTCGTCGTCAGCCAGCAGATTCGTTTTTGGTATTAGTGGTCAATGGCGATTGTTGCGGTTTGCGAATGGGTTTTTGTGGGAAATGAGTCAAAGATGAGGGTCAATTGTGTCTGTTTGCCCTAAATTTGTTTTAGCTGTTTAAGCTACTATTTTAAAACACATTTCATCTTATGTGTATGTGAATGAAGTTTTATTCCAGGTTCGGAATCCCAACTAATTCCAAAAGTATTGGCTTTTTAGAAAAATCCATAATTTGAAAAAGTATTTTCAGTCCTTCAAGTAACTGCAGTGGAGTCCCGTAACCTCACTGTGCACTAACTTTCAAATCCAGATTGAATGCTTTATTCATACTCGAATCGGTTGAAAAATACACTTAATCTTCTAGTTTACTCGATATCTATCCATTGCAAGCAATATTTTGATAATTGTTTATGTTTTGATAATTGGTGCACAGTTTAAGGAAACGCCACTGAGTAACTGGGTACATACTTTACTCTATGGAAGAGAGACGGGCTGTCCGGTATGCACATTCTGCATGTATACTATGGTGTAGGGCCATCGAATGAGTCATTAGGCCGAAAATTTTTATACCGAAAACATAATCACTCTGGGACCTATACACAGGGTGACCAGCGAATTTTCATTTTGAAAAAAAAAATCCCGGTTGCTCATATTCGCAAGAATTGGAAGTGGTCAATACATTTGGGATTTATTAAAATTCTCAAGATTGGCCTGATCGGAATTAATAATTCAAATTCCAGGGTTTTCCTAGATTTTTTCCCGGGTTTCCAACATGTTTTTCCGGTTTAATATAAACTTCTAAACATGGTATAACAAAGGAATAAGGAACAGTTGATTTTACCAAAGTTGTTCAATTTGAAATATGTCCCCGGAGATGAATCAGCGTCTGGCTGAACATTTCCTTAATAAAGACAACCAACCAATCAACAATTTAAAACATTATATATGCCTCCCTGGGCCTAGCTCTAGTAATTTTCTACGTTTTAGATTATTTTATATAAATTCCCTAGGCCGACCACGCTGAATTTTTGAAAGTGATAAATTGAGCTTTGAAGATCTTTTAAAATGGAGCACTTAATTTTGGTGATAGTGGCGCTCTCAGTGGTCAGATATGCAAGCTTTGACAGCGTTTTGTTGTTTGTAAACAGTTCTGCTCGATCTATACTTTCACAGTCTAAAACTAACATGGTTCCGAGATATTCATCACGCAGGAGGAGAAAATAAAAATAATTGTGCACAGTTACAGTTAAAAATCCATCAGTGTCAACTCGAGAGTTGGTAAAACTGCTGGATTATCCTAAAAGTACTTGTGGCGCGAGTGAATAAAAAGCACAAGGAAACTCTCACAACTGCCCGCAAAGTGCAAACCAAGCGCCGGAGTGAAACCATTTATCGTCAACTGCGGTTGAAGGTCAGTCGGAAAATCAAGGCTAATCCCAATTGCTCGGATTATGACTTGGCGAAAAAAACTTAATGCTGATCGCTGGACTGCGCGGCGACGGCTCCGAGAAGGCTACAAATTTAACCAAGCAAGTAAACAACCTAACCGAAGCTTCTAACAACAAACAGTGGCTAGAGCCCGGGCCCATAAGATGTACGACCAGGTACGGACGAAACTCGATGGATGCGTCTTGATCGACGATGAAAGCCTGCTCGCGGCAAGGTTCCTGGCACATTCAAGGTATCTACTGCTGTGGCAAGAAAACCAGCGTTTTCGTGACGGATAAGATTATGAATTCGGAAGTAAACAAAAGGGAGTACCTTAACAAACGGATTTCACCTTTCTGATGGTTCAGTTACGTTTTGGCCACTGCCATTACAGCAATACGTCAATGTGCTACAATGATTCAACGACAATGGAGTCCAGTTCATCCCAAAACAGCTGAATCCACCAAATTGTCCCCAGTTCCGTCCAATAGAGAAGTATTGGGCGATACTGAAGCAGAAACTGAAGATGAAGAATTGGTGTAATTAGCTTGCCAATCTTTAATCTTTAGAATGCATTTCGATTGAAAGAAAAGTTAAAAAAATACACGCATTTGAAAGTGCCCATTTCGAAATGGTCTTGTCTTTATTATGAGTTGAGAAAAAT